GATATATTTCATTATATGTCTTTTAGGACTAACCAGTGCTAAACACTGGGGATCTCTTACTTATGCCTAGTAAACTTTGCACCTGAGAGTCCAAGAAGCACAGAGATACAGTTCCTTCTTGGTAGGGGTTTTTATTCCTGTTCTCCCCTGTGTCCAGAGCTTCAAGCTCAGCTGGTGGGAGGAATCCACTTGCAAGACTTATCTTCATGGGGGCCGCAAAACCAGCAATGTCTTTTGTTCTCTTTTTCGTCTCACAATAGCCATAGGGAGTTGGACTTTCTCTCTTGGCCAGGACATAACACCTTCAGCTGGAGACCAGCACTTCACACTAGTTAATGTCTATCTCCTGCCTGGTGATTTACAGAGTCACAGAGACTCTCAATACAAATGCTCATATATTACCATGCAACACGGCACACCACTGTTACAACAGAGATTAATGCTGGAAGCTACTCACAAGCATTCAATTAAGTCTAAACACTAAACATGTTCTTATAATTCTAATAAAGATTTGAATAGCTCTAACATAGGGTAGCCAGGCTAGTCCTAGCTATGTATCTCAGGGTTCAGTTGAAACATGGGGACCTTGGCATGAGCTGGCCCCTGGTCTGCCAGAGTCATGAAGGTCTGAGTTCTAGTCCTGCTTTTGCTGAGTTTCCTATTAGCCATGGTGTATGACACAGTCTGATCTCTCTAGGTTCTTTCATGGCACCTGGCATCCGGACACCTAGGAGTCAACCCAGTGCAACTTTATAACGTTCAGTTAATGCAACATCCATAAATTCCCGCCTGACACATCATTAACTCAGTGGCTTAGCCCCAGTTAATTGACTCCTGTTTGTAAAGAGCGCTGACAATGGAAAGTGCTGTCTAAGGGCTGCACACTGTTATTAGCTCAGGGAGGTTCCTTCCTGGTACCTTTGACTTCAGTTCCCATGCCGACAATTTCCCTGTTTTGCTGCTTTGTCCGTATACTTCTCATGGGCATGTGAATTTTGAGCAAGCACTTCAGGGTCGCCTGCATCAGTGCGGGTGGGCAGAGGAGGGGTGTCCCTGTGCAGAGGCTATGAAATTCCGCCCTTTTTGGACCCATCTATCCATGAGATCCAGGTCACATCCATGTTTCAGTTCCTTTAACACCTCCCAACCTCCCCCTCGCCTTCCTGGCTACTATCTGCTTCCTCAATACACTTCTTGAGATGATTGCCCTGCAGATGTCAGTCCATGAATAAACTGACAGCTTTAACCCTTCGAACCCTGGCACTTTGCAGCTGGCTGGCCCAAGGAGGTCTCAGTGTTTGGGGTGTGTGGCACTGCGGGTGGCAAAAGGTTAACAGACCCTCCGCTTATTTCAGGTGTTTTCTTGCCTGGAGATAGCAAAGGTTGATCCTCTTGTAGAACCAAAAGGGGCAAATTCCATGCGTGTCGGTTTGTTTTCATCCAAGCCTCTGCCCCTGGTTTCACTATCAGCCACTGGGAGATGTGGGGCGGGCGGGTAGCAGCTGTGCTTTGCAGACTCCTACAAAGACCCATTTCCTCCTGCATATTAAGGGGGCTTCTTCTGGAAAGGAGGGCACGGTGTATTCCTTGTAATGTTACTGGGAGCCACCAGGCAGTGCTGTTACAGATATTCTGACAAGTTTCATTTACCTGACTGTAGGGACGGAGAGATCTGGAGATGACCACGTTTGTTGTCAGCTGTGGTGCAGTTCTAAGTGGTTCCCTGCCTGAGTCTCGGGGCTGGGTGTGGAAAGAGCTCCTAGCTACACTCCCGCGACAAAGCCACTAATGACACTCGGTGCCAAAGCCTCACATCCTGATTCAGTGCGATGCAGTGCTTCGTAAAGAGCAGTGGTATCTCAATGTGCACCAGGTTTCGATTTTACAGGGGTGTCCAGTCTATAGCAGGGTTTAAAACATGAAATCACCACCTTCTGGTGACACCTTCCGTCAGCTTGTGTGGCGAAGGCCGGTGAGGTCAATGGGTGATCTGTTGGAAGTCCGAGGGGGGAGTGTAGTGACTGACAGCTGCATGGGATTCAGTGACAGACCTGTAAAGCACCCTGCATCCCAAAAGGCCCAAAGTGCTTTACAAACCATATGAATCAACTCCCTTACCCCCGGAGGGCAGCCTGTTGGGCAGTGCTAAATGCCCCAGCAGGGGAGTGGAGGGCAGGAAGTGAGCAGAATGCCTCACTCAGGGGGCTCTAGGGAAGAGGAATAGGATGACCAGAGCTGGAGTGGGGCCAGGACTCCGGGGTTAACACCCCAGCTCTCACAACGAGCATCTCTGGATCGTTAGTGACCTGTTATTAAACCTCAACATTACAGCTTGGAGCCAGCGGGAAGAGCATCACTGACCTCACTTTCTACAGCCCCCTGGGACTCCCATCCTGGCTCAGCCCCCCTGGCTTAGTTTATGGGACCAGAGAAGGGCAATGTTCAAGGTGCCATGGGTGCAGGCTAGATGTGAGATGCATCTGCTAAAACGGAGCTAAAGTGTGTGACTGGCTCTGAGCCGCCTGGCGGAGAAGTGCTGGAGGCAGGCAATGTATTCAGTATTCCTGGTTATGAAGGGTGGTGCAAACTCTCCTGGCAGAGCCGCTGGTTCCGGGGCCCTGGGGCAGATCTCCTGGGTGTCAGACGTTCAGTGGTGAGTAGCACCCTGCAATCTCATGGTGTTAAATCCACTTGGTGCTCCGGCACTGTGGATTTGCTCCCTTTTCCGATGGGCATTTCAGCGTCTCTGGTTGGGAAGCTAAAAGCTGATCCGGAGATCCTACCCTTCGCCCACCTCGTTCGCTGCCACCCTGCCCCTTGTGCCGTCATTGCACCAGTGCAACAGACCACGGCCTGCATTTGCAGCATGGCACATGTGCCTTGCGTGGGTGGGGATCAGCCCCATGCGGCCTCTCCAGCATGGGCATGCTGCCAGCTTTGCAGGCTGATAATGCTCACTAGCTCTCTCTGCTTGGGGGGATCTGCCTCAGCTTTGCATTCCCAGCCCCCCGCCTCGCTCTTCCCGGAGCCGTCTCCAAGCGCTGTGACACGCCCAGGGACTGGGCTGCAGCCTGACCCCGGGCAGTCTCTCTTGTCACCCCTCCATCTCCTGCTCAGCATTTCACACCCCGCCAGGGCCCTGCTGGTTTCAATAGCTGCTGTTCTCCTAAAGAAGGGCCGTAAAAGTGGAGCCCCAAAGAGACAATAAAGAGGGCTGAGTGGAGATGAAGGGGGAATCAAACAGTGCGTGCCCTGTCCCTGCCATGCAGGGAGACGAGCGCGCCGGGTTCTCAAAGACTCTTTTGTTCCTCTCCCTCCTGATTCAGCACGGCCCTGCGATAAAGGGTGATTAGCGAGATAGCAGGCCCGGGGCCCCGCTCCGTGGGCTGCTGCCCTTATCGCAGACTTTGGCAGCTGGGGGTAATCAAATACACTTCACGCTAATCAAGGAGTTTTCATTTCGCTAACGGAATCGATTTTAATCGCCAAACGAGCCCTGATAACGACACTGCCAGTTTAATATCAGCTGGGCAATAAAACCATTATTGGACAACCAGGCGATGACAGCGACACTTAGCGCTCCGCACCCCCTGTTGTGCCCCGGGGCCGGGGGGCACTGCATCGCCAGCCTGCGCCGGGGTCCTCTGGGGAGCCCTGCTGGCTCTTGGGGGCTGGGATGTGGCCAGGCAGGGGCTCCATGGGGAGCAGCATTGGCTACCAGGGAGAGGCCTCATTTCCCTGGGACTGCGCCAGGTGTTCACACACGCGCTGCTCAGCTTCTGCTCCTCCGAAGGGAGAGCGTCCCCTAGCGAACCACCACGTCCTCCGGCACATGGGCTGGCCAGTGGGGCCTGGCCCCCGGGGCTGGCCCTGCTCAGCCCGGGAGAGCTCCACCCAAGCTGGTTTGGGTGCAGACAGTCTCGGCAGCAGAATCCCAGCTGGGACGGGGCCAGTTTGCTGGGCCAGGGGCCCCAGCACGGTCTGGCCTCGCGTGACTTCCCCTTTCTGTGCCCCTCGGCGGGTCTGTGATGAAGCGACCCTCAGTGCCCACATGCTACGAATTCTCCTCCCCATGGGCGGCAGGCACAGTAGGCCAGGGGAGGCCAAGTGTGGCCCCGCCCACGCGGCTCCTCTTCCCATCCCCCCCACCTTTTCGCCTCCCCCCCGCAACCCCCACCCACTGCTTGTGCCTCTTCACCCCCAGAGAGGCAGAGAGGTGCAGGCGGTAGGCAAGGGGTCTAGGGTGGAATAGGGGCGGAGCGGGGAGCGGGGTCTGGGGTGGAATAGGGGTGGAGCGTGGGCGGGGCTTCGGAGGGTGAGCGGGGGCAGGGCAGGGGGCGGGGCCATGGTTCAGGCACTGGTGGCTCCTCCCACTTCTAGGGAGCTTCCAGCTTTCAGGCCCAGGCTCCCGCCTGCCTGTAGTGACGTCCCGCACCCAGGCCGTCCCGCCACCCGCACTGTCCCTCCGCCCTGGACACTTCTTCCATCTTCAGGAAGCGCCTGCCCCCCTCCTGCTCTCACCCCCGCCCAAAGGGGCATCAGGCTTCCCTCGCCCATGCCCTCCAGCCAGCCACCATCTCCCCCGAGTGCCCACCTGTCAGCTTAGCAAGGGCGTCCCGTCTGCCCCATCCTCCCGCCTCGCCTAACCCTGGGTCACCTCAGCGAAATGCCTCCTGGCTCAGCCTTGTCTTCATGGGACACGGCTCCCGAATTCCTGCTGCCCAGCCCCACCTCGTGCCCCGCACCCTTTCCCCAGCAGCCCCGTCTGCTCCCCCGCTGCCGTGTCTAGCCATGGCCCTTAGCTAGCGCCCGCTGCTGGGGGGTGGGGAGGGGGGCTGAGCACCTTCCACTCTTTAGCGGCCGCCCCCTCGGGTGCCCCCCTGCAGGGCAGAGCAGCGTGAGCATCCGACCGAGCCCTGCCCAAGGTCAGGTGCGGTAAAGCAGGGACTCGGCCCTGGGTCCAGCCGCCCGCTGACCTGTGCCCGCTCGTTGCATTTCAGCCACTCCGCAGTCCGGCCTGATGGGCAAATGCCGCCGGCCCCGCACGGCCTTCACCAGCCAGCAGCTGCTGGAGCTCGAGAACCAGTTCAAGCTCAACAAGTACCTGTCCCGGCCTAAGCGCTTCGAGGTGGCCACGTCGCTGATGCTGACCGAGACCCAGGTACCGTCCCTGTGCGGGCGGGGGAGGGGCGGGAGTCGCCCACCGGCCTCCCTCTGCACCTACGGGCGAGGGGCAGGGCCGATGGGCCCTGGGCTCCCGTCCTGCAATGGTGACCCCAGAAGATTTGGCTCTTTTACTAGCACAGCGACTCCATCCAGAAGCCAGTCAGCCAGCGGCAGGGCCCGTCCCCGCGCTGTGCTCCGGGGCTGCTGGTCTGGCACCCTGGAGGCGTGTGCACTGTTCTGGGACCCTGGGCTGATTCTAGCCCCTCTTGTCTGCGGGCGTGTGTGTCCCCTACAAAATGCTGTATCCCTAAGACTCAGCTCCTGGGGCCCCTCCTAACCCCAACCTCCAGGGCAGCCGCGCTCCCCACGTTCTAGCACTGGGGCTACTGGAATCCCACCCCATGACCCCGATTCTCCGCGACACCGTCTGTGCTTGGAGTGGGCATTGGGGGCTGGTAACCCCTTAACTGGGGGTTAAGGCGGCTTTAACCTTTCTGCTCCCTGTATTCTAGGGCAGTGTGGGCATCTGCCCAGCCCCCAGTGTAAGTTAGAGCAGCCTCAGAGCTGCTCTAAATGTCTCCCCAGTGCCCGGTGGACCTAGGAGGCAAAGGACAGCTGTAGCGCGGAGCACTCTGGCCATGCCCTTGATCCACCCCGTATACCGGGGGCTGGGAGCAGGGCAGTTATAAACCCTTTATACCAGCTTCTGGTGTGTGTGTGTGTGGGGATCCTCAGGGGGCTGTCTGTGCCTACTCCGGAGCCCCTTTACACTCCCAGAAAGGCGTAACTCAGGATCCGACCCAGCAGCCTCATCCTGGGAGGAGAGCACCTGTCGGGGAGGGCGCCCACGCAGCTACATGGAAATAGGTATTTCAGATCCTTCCCTGCCATCAGTCATGTGACTCCCCCCTGCCCCGGTCTCTTGGCACTCGACTGGAGAGGGCCCTGGGGCAGGGGAAAGGGGATTTGGCCTCAGGACAGTCACTCGCTGCTTCCCTTCCTTCAGCCAGAGAGCTGCGGGCTCTGGGCTCAGCTCCTCAGCTAGGCAGGGCGGGGTCAGGTCAGTGCTTGGCTGCAAGACCTCGGAGGAAATGTCAGAGTGCTGCAGCAAAGGGTGGCAATGAATGGGTACAGGCTGCTCTTGGGGTGGACCCCAGAGTGGGGTGCTGTACTGCAGGGATTGGGCGGGGTTATCCCTGGAGGGGGTGATCTCCAGGGCACATGACCCGGGAGGGGGTGATCTCCAGGGCGGGTGACCCGGGGGAGGGGGTGATCTCCAGGGCGGGTGACCAGGGAGGGGGTGATCTCCAGGGCGGGGGACCAGGGAGGGGGTGATCTCCAGGGCGGGTGACCCGGGAGGGGGTGATCTCCAGGGCGGGTGACCAGGGAGGGGGTGATCTATTAATTTGTTCGGCCCCTTGGGGTAGGGACTCTCTCACCGGGTGTCGGTCAGCGCCTGGCCCAGCAGGGCCTGGCTCTGTGCTCCTGGCAGTATAAGGTGTCTCAGTGAGAAACAAGGAAGCGTGTGCCGTGCCCCACCCCGGGGCTGGTGGTTGTCAGCGCTGGGAGAGGCTGCCCCCGGGTGCGAGGCTGGGGAAGCTCTATAGTCGCCCTCCTGTCGGTCTTCTGCAGGTGAAGATCTGGTTCCAGAACCGCAGGATGAAGTGGAAACGCAGCCGGAAAGCCAAAGAGCAGGTGGCCCAAGCCGAGGCCGAGAAGCAAAGAGGGGTCAGCAAAGCTGCCGAGAAGCTGCTGCCCAGCGAGCCGCAGCGGCAGGAGGAGGGCCCTGGATTTAACAGGCACGGTGCGAGCGTGGAGATCCTGCACCGCCGTGCCGCAGAGCTCGGCTACAGCCCGGGCTCCTCGTGCTCCGGGGAGGAAGAGGAGCGCTTCAGCTCCACAGACAGGAAGATCGGCTCAGCGTTATGAAAGGCAGCCCCGGGTGATCACCCCACGAAACAGAGCAGGGAGAGCAGCCCGGAGCCGGGGCCGGGGCCAGCCAGATGGAGCCGGCTCTGGGGCCACCTCCACTGCTAGCAGACTGAGAGACCCAACCCAGGCCGCGGCACTGGGGAGACTCTGCGGCACCTGCCCGTCTCCTTTAATTTATGTGTGTTTGGATTCTATTTAACTCGTAATTATTCTGTCAGTGTGTACTGGGGGGCTGGGGGCAGGGGGGGGCTGGACTGAGACCCCTCCCCCGTGCTTCCCCCATAAAGATGTTTGCTACAGTGTATCAGCAAGCTGGTGCTTTTCCTTGCAAGGGGGCCAAGACCAATAAATACGGGGTATGGCCCCTCCTTTCCCCCCACCACGAGCGGCTCTGCTGAGAGCTGGGGGTATGGGTCTCACAGACGAGGGTGCAAGGGCAGGCCTGGAGGGGGCAGCGCTGGACAGGCCTAGATCAAAGCCTCTGCCGGGTGCTGAGTGAGGAGGCCCTGGCCGGTGGACATTAACATGCCCCCCAGGAGGGAGCCCCGGCCCCATGCCACCGCACTCATCCCCGGAGGGAGCCCCGGCCCCATGCCACCGCACTCATCCCCCGCCCTGTGTGGGACACCCCCTGCCCTTTTCCTGACCCACATTCTCTGCAAGACCCCCAGCGAATTCACGGGAGAGAGAGCCCAGGTCTTCTTGTTTTGCATTTTGACTCCTCTCAATGCATTTCTGACCCCTAGAGAGCAGTGGCTGGCCATGGACTCCTTAATGCTTTATGGTGCAGATCCATGGCCAGTGCCCTGCTGGCTGCCGGAGCTGCTGCGGGATCAGTTTCTTGTTGCCTGCACATGGAGAACGGGGTTTGATCAATGAGCTGCAGGATTTGGTCCTTACTGATGCATGCAAGGAAGTATCTGCTCACCCTGACTTCCCTTCGCATTGGCTGTGAGCCTAGGAACCCTGCTAGACAGTGTATGCAGAGGGTAACGCAGGCCCTTGGTGTGCCGGCACCGAGGTGGGTATCATCTGCCCCAGGGTCAGAGCCACGGAGGGACAACTACACCACTCTCATTTTGCCAATTCTAAGGGCTCTGCAGCAATGTATCAAACGCTGGAAGGTAACCAGTCTCCCGTGCTGCCAGCCCTTACCCAGCCATGCAACTAACCAACTACCCCAGCCCCTACCCAGCCATCCAACTAACCAGCCACCTGTCCAGCCATCCCCTAACCAGCCATCCAACCAACCAATCACCTGTTCTGCCAGCTCCTACTCAGCCATCCAACTAACCAATCGCCTGAGCTGCCACCCACTACCCAGCCATCCAACTAACCAATCACCCATCCTGCCAGCCCCTACCCAGCCATCCAACTAGCCAACTGTTCATCTTGCCAATCCCCATTGTGACGGATCCCTGGGGTGCAACCTGAACTGTGGGACTGCTGAGCCCCCTGTCCCACCAACCTGGGCTGGCCCTCACACTGTGTGATGCTAACCTCAAGTTGCAGACCTCTGACAGGCACTGCACTCACACAGCCATCCACACCCAGCTGAGTTACAGCCACTCATGGACCATCAATAGGGAGGCTCCAGCCAGTTCCCCCGCTCCACAGCCTTGCACCTCAGAACGGTACCGACTTGCACTGTGCAGAAGTCTGGCCAGTGTAAGTCCATTTGCTAGTTCGCCAAACCGACAACCGGGTACTGGACGTGCAACCACCCTTGTAACCTGAGCTGAGATTCCCCAAGCGCTTCCACCGAAACACACGGCTTTAGGTCAAATGTCAAACAGGGTTATTAACTCCAGACAGAGAGACTGTACGGCATTCTAAGTGGTAGGTCAGAGATCCTTACCTCAGAAATAAAAATAGAAACGCGCATTCTAAATCCCAAACTTTTAGTCTAACAAAGAGTTGAATCATGCAGCTTTTCTCACCCTGACAGATGGCACAAGCAGGTCACAGTTCCTCAATACACGGGCTGGGACTCCCTTCCAGCCTGGGGACAAACTTCCCCAGTTCAAAATCTTTGTCCTCCAGATGTTCTTCCAGGTGTTGCGTTGAGGTTGGGTTGGGGGTGGGGGGGAGATGCCAAGTGATGATGTCACTTCCCCTCTTTTATACTTTCTTCGAGCTTGCTGGAACATCTTTGCTGTGATGTGGGGGTCAGGCAGTCCCTATTGGTCAAGCAGTCTCCATTGCATCTGGAGTGTGACACTGAAAATCAGCCTGCCCCACATCACATGCAGCACAGGCCGCTGGACCCCTGACGGGGTTCAGCACCTCCCCACCGCCCCTCGCACACCCTTTCTGGTTGTAAATCATCCACTAGCTAAACCGAAGCAAAGCCCCACAGTGGGACAGCCCCAGGGAGCCCGTCCTAGCCAGCCCTGGGGAGCCCACATGCTCTGAGAGCTCAGCCCCAGGGCACGGGCTGCGGAGAGGACCCCCGCACACTCCCTGGAGCTCTGTGTGTGGGTCCCGAGCTGGGCACGCAGAGTGAGGAATCACTTTTGAAGTGCTGGTCTGCCCGCCCGTCCCTCCCAGCCCCCGGAGGCAGGCGAGTCAGTTGCTCCCCCGTCAGACAGGTGCAGCTGGGGGCAGTGGCTTGCCCCAGCTGTGAGTGGCCGCACTGGTACCCCTGACTGTCCTCCCTGGGGGAGGCGATTTCTCCCTTCCCCCCTTCCAGACCCATGCCCAGGAGGGCCCAGCCAGCCTGCCCGCAGAGCAGCCCCGAGCAGCCCCTGGCCAGGCTGCCAGTGACTGCGGCTCTAATGCAGACAGCCTCATGTGCCAGGCCCCTTCTCCCCGCCTCGGAGCCCCAGAGAGGGACCCAGGCGCCCTGCAGTGGCCCACGCTCCTTGTTGCAGCCCCAGAGAGCAGTGGCTGCTGGGGGAGGGGGAGTGTGGTCTGCCGGGGGGGCGGGGGGCTGCGTGGGGCAGGCGCGGGGAGAGAGGCTGAGTGTGGAGGTAGAATGTGAATGCGTGAGTTCATGGGGAAGGGGAAAATGGATGAGAGGGAGAGGAGCTGAGGTGGAAGGAAGGAAAAGAAGGAAGAGGAACGCAAGGAGCGCTGGAAAGGACAGAGGCAGGAGATGTGGGAGGCAGGCCAGGCTCTGTAGGTCATGGGGTTAGGGCACAATGCGGGAGCCGGCTGCATGCGGGTCCTGCTTATACATCTTGTCCCAGCTCCATCTCTCCTGCCTCGCTCTCTTTCTACCCATCAGTCCTGCAGCTGGCAGATCAACCTTCCAGCCCAGGCTCCGGGCTGAGAGCGTCCACTCGCTGCCCTGACACGTCCCCTGCGGGTTCTGCAGCCTCCAGCTGTCTCGCTTGCACCTGGTACCCTGCAGGAGGCTCAAAGACTGGCAAAGGTTTGCACCGAGACCCCTGGGTGCCCAAGCACCAGGCTCTGCTGGAGGCTTATCCCAGCGATGGGAAAGCGGGACAGGGGCACGGGGGTGCTGGAGCAGGGAGTGCTTGGTGGAGCAGCGCATCCACACAGAGCTGAGATGAGGTTTGAACGAGCCTCATCCTGATCCTTGTGACCTCCAGGTCCAAGTGCAAACCCCAGCCTGTCCCAGTAACAGCAGCAAAGGGGAACCCAAGGGGGACAGTGGAGGACGTTGAAAAATCAGTCTAAGCCTTGCAATGTTTGTCAGGCCCTCTTTAGCCCAGTGCCTGCCTTTCGGTGGGAATGACTAGCTAGCCAGCTGTCTGCGTGGGGCAAGCGTGACACATGGTGGCTGCCTGGAAGTACTGCAGATCTGCATGCCCCATTTGTAGCCTGCCTAAGCCCCTTGGGTTATTAGTGGGCCTGGTCCTCCTGGCCCGGGGGCACCTGGGATGCTGCACAGCTGGAAAGAGCTGACAAGATAAAGCAAAACCTTGGTGTTCCCAGCAGCAGCAGGGGTCTGAGGGAGCAGGGTTCCATGGGGCGGCTGCTCCCGCGCCCCACCGACAGGAAGGTGGAGCTCACACGTCACCAGAGAGCCTGGCAGGGCAGGTGTTTGCTGCAGGGCCCTTTGGGGGGTGCCCCTAATAACAGACACCTCAGTGACAAGGGCTCTGTGAAGGCCTGACTAGAACTGAGGAGCCTAGGGGAAGTGGGCAGCCTTGCCCTACACCCAGCATGGGGCAGTGTCCATCCCAAATGCCATAAGCCCCGCCAGGGCTGCAGGATAACGTGAAGCACTCCCACCTCAGCACAGGCTTGTGCAGGAGACCAAGGCGGGGGCACCACAGTAAGGAGCGATGCAGACATATTGGTCAGCTCTCAGCCTAGAACCCAGGACCTTCTGCTCCAGGAACCTAGGCCCCAGAGTTGCTGGGAAGACACCCCAGCAGCAGCTTTAGTCAGCCACAAGGTGACACAGTCCCATGGCGTGCAGCAAGGTTAACGTTCGCTCCAGGAGAGGGGACACAGCCCAGCCCGTACACGGCCTGGGGCAAAGAATGAGGGGCCTGGACCCCATCATGATGGGCTCTCCGGAGGGATGGCAAGAGATGAATGGAGTGAGAGAGGGATGGGGGAGGGACAGAGGATTGTAATGAGGTGCAGGGTGCGAGGGAAGGAGAGAACGAACAAGGGAAATACAGGAGGATTAACGATCACAGGGCGAGGGAAGAGTGGGCTAGAAGATGAGTGCTGGCAGGATAGCCAGGAAAGGAGCAGGCCCCGGCGTCTGAGCAGGACTGTCACACGTGCTTCGCTGGGGGCACCCTGATCCCCTCTGCACGGAGTATCTGGCACGGGCAGCATGGAGCCTGGGGAGAGCAGAGGGTGTGGCGGGAGGGGGTCTGCCCATGGGTTCTTGTGGGCATTTTGCCTCCCATAATAAGGCCGTAAGAGGTGGATGCCTTCCCCTTGGGCTGTCCCTCCTTGCAGACCCCAATTCATCTCCCTCCCTCCCGCAGCACCTGTAAACCCCTGGAGCTGCAGCCTTACAGGAGCTCCCAGTGACTTGGGGGAGTTCAGGGTCCCCTGCAGAGAGAGACGCAGGCCCTGCCTCCGGAGCACTGAGCCTGGGCGAGACGCATCGCACCATTCCCAGCCCTGCCAGCCCGGCGCTGTGGCCTGGGGTTTGGGTAGGTCTGTGGCCTTATACGCATCCCTCCTGACGTAAGACACAACCTCCTGTAACTCCAAACCAGCACCGTGCCTTGGCACAGCGGGCACCATGGTCTAGGGCTGAATGAGGCCAAGCGAGAAGGGGAGAGAGCAGGAGATGGGGCTGGCTGGCCGGCCAGGAGAGCAAGGACGTGGGAATGAGCCGGAGAAGAAAGAGGGAGCATGCTCCAGGACGAGATGGGAGGCGGGGAGGCACGTAGGGATGTCACAGGTTTAAAATGTTCACCTTGATGGGCCGTGACAGGTTTAATTTCCAAAGTACAACCATTAAAGTGATGAATGGGAGGCGTTAATCTTGCGTCAAGTGTGTTTGGGGCCTTTGCTGCTGTGA